ACCGCAGCCGCCGCCGCAGCAGCAGCAACATCAGGAGAGGACAGGGGCAGCGGCCATCGGCAGCGCCAGGTGAGGATGGGTGGGTTTCCGGGCGCTGTATCCGAGGTGCCCGAGACCTGTACACCGCGCGAGGCGGACTTGTAGCCTGGCTACCTTTGAGAGGCACCAGAGGGAGTGGGAAGATCCCGTGAAGCTAGCGGTGGGCCCCCTCAGGTCCTAACAGGTCGGAGTAACAGGGTTCCCGGGTGGCCACAGGAGCATTTAGGGGCCGTGCTCAGCTCTTGAGAGCCTAGTCAGGACTCGGGGCCTTAGCCTAAAGGGCAGGCGGAGTGCATCCCGCCAGCGGCGTCGGAACGAGGAGTTGGGGGGGCTGAGGAGGTGATCGGGGTCCCCAGCTCCATTACCACGAAGGGTCTCGCGGTCCCCGGCTTCAGCCAATGGGGAGTCAGCTGCGGGAAGGGGTCCCTGGCCGTAGCCAATGGAGGGGGGCGCGCGGCCCACAGTTTGGCCAATGGGGAGGGAGGGACTTGGGAGCTAGTTGCTACCTCCCCCTTCCCAGTCTGACCAGTAGGAGGGGAGCGGGGTGGGCGGGGGGGGGGAGGGAAGGAGTGACAAAACTGGGAGGACTGCGGACCAGGAACCTCCAGCGCGCGCGCGCGCTCTGCCCGTACGTGCGCGCGGATGCTCTTATGACCTGGCCATTCTCGAGCCCCGAGTAACATATAGGGCAGCGGCTGGGAGTGTGCGTGGACAGGTTAACCTGGTGTTCTTGGATGAGTGGTGCACACCCTACTCGGTTTCGTCTATGTGTGGGTTTATGGAATTGGGAGTAGAGGTATACGCAGGCGCAGTTGGTTCTGATCGCGGGAGGGGGGATTTTGAAGAAACCTGTGGGCTTTAATGCGCAGGCGCAGACCGGGCGAGGCCTCCCGGTGGATAGCTTTGCGGCTGCGCTGTCCCCCAGCCCCGCCAACGGCCCCCTGATCGCCCTATTCCAACCGCCGGTTACATCAGCCAGCGAGGAGCAGGGCTACCGGGCGATTGATGACCCCTCCCAGAGTGGGTAACAGGCAGAATGAGTAAAGAGGTCGAGAGGGTGGATTGTAGAGGGAGTAACCTTCTCCGAGGGTTTAGGGAGTAAGGCTGCGGGAAATGATGATCTTTTCTGTTGGGGTGGTAATATGCCTGACCTAGGTAGTTCCAAATCTGCACTCCTTGAGCTTCCACCTTTATATCCGGGGTCGGTTATTAGTTATCGAATACTGTAGCATTTGTCTGTTGGAAGCATGCAGCCCTGGCCCTCTTGGAGAAGGTGAAAAGGTTGTGTTGAATTGGCTCTTAAAGCAATAGACAACCGTTGATGATTGAGGTCTGTTTTACTGGCATTTGGAAGAAACGGCTTTTAAGGACTGTGTTTCTTCCTCTGTAAGGTGAGAGTTTGAAAATCTTGTTGGATTAATTGATTTGTTGCCTAAATGTTCATCTTCACGTGGTATGTGGTTCTAGCATACCAAGTCCTTTGAAATCAATTGTATAGAAAGGGTTGAAGATATTTAAATAACAAGTTTCTTATTTCTTTCTCCTACAGGGGACAAAGCACAGGAAAGGGACCCCCACAGTCACCGGTGAGTGCCTCCCCCCACCTCCAACTAATGCACAGACACCTAAAAGATGCATATGTGGGGATATAAAGCAGATTAGGTGCAGAAATATTCAGATGGGTTCAGAAGGCAGGGGACCCAGTACATACAATGTAGGTAGAGTGGAGTATGGGCATTTAGAAGGAGGGTGAGATGTTGACTGGCTGTTCATTTATTTGTCTCTCCTGTATTACTGACAGGTGTTTGAGGGTGTCTACAACAATTCCAGAATGCTGCATTTCCTTACAGCTGTTGTGGTAAGTGCGTACCTAACTCCTGGGTTGAGGAATGTAATGCATCAGTTTGCTGGAGGCACTTTTCTTTTTCCCCCCACTCTTTCAGGGCTCCACTTGTGATGTAAAGGTGAAGAATGGTACCACCTATGAAGGTATCTTCAAGACACTGAGCTCAAAGGTAGGTTACTCCAATTAGCTTATTTTTGGAGTTCCATGGGAGAAGGAGGAGGAGAGTAGAGTAGGCTCATTGAAGAAGTGAATTGAGTGGTGTTGGACGATATTGCGGCTGTGCTCATTATTGTAGGCCTGTGCCGGGAAGTGCTGAAGGCAATAAAAGACATGGGTTTGAAATTTGAGGGCAGGGTACTTTGATGTTAAAAATGGTCAAATTTAAAAATGAATTTTTAAGTTTGGAACTTTTGTTAAATTCTGTGGCTGATGTTGAGAAGACAATGCACATGAGAATGTGGTGTTGGGCAAAGTTTAGAAAGGGTAAAATAGAAGTAGTCATATTTTTGCCTTCACGTTTCTTGATCCTGACCTTGGGTGTTGGGAAATGGGACTCTTGCAGTTTGAACTGGCAGTAGACGCTGTGCACCGGAAAGCATCTGAGCCAGCAGGTGGTCCTCGTCGGGAGGACATAGTGGATACCATGGTATTTAAGCCAAGTGATGTCATGCTTGTCCACTTCCGAAATGTTGACTTCAATTATGCTACTAAAGGTATTTATTGGGCAAGGCTATTGTGTCAGACCCATTTCTTGAGTAGAGAGCATAGAACAGTAACATGATTTGATTTTTCTCTTCTCTCCTTTGCTTTAACATCTTTATTTATTTCTAAGGAAGATGGCTGGTTTTTCTTCTTGAGAATATGTCTTGATGTCTTAAGATACAGTGGTTGTTTTGTTTTTATTATTTATTTATTTATTTATTTATTTATTTTTATTTATTGAACTCTTCAAGATGAGGCTTTTTATGCTGCACCCTACGCCTCGCCCCCACCCCTGAACTCTGACACACATAAACTTTTCTTTGCTCCGATGGGGGTGGGGGTGTTGGAAAGAAGTCTGTGAGGTATCAGCTGACTCCTGATCTTTAACCTGTCCCCACAGACAAGTTCACTGATTCAGCCATTGCCATGAACTCGAAGGTGAATGGGGAGCACAAAGAGAAGGTGCTTCAGCGTTGGGAGGGGGGCGACAGCAACAGCGATGACTACGACCTCGAGTCTGACATGGTACAGTCCCCTTCCTCTGAGAACCTGAGAGCTGTGGGGCTCTGCTGCCAGAGTGTGGGTTGTTGACAGTGACATCATTCTTGGAACCAAGAGTTGCTAGGGTGGGCAGGGAGGGAAATCTTTTACTATTGACTATTGACGGCAGTAAGATTCCAATGGAAAGGTAAAGAAAATAACAAAACAAAAATACCTGTTCCATGGGGGAGGGTATAGCTTAGCAGTAGAGTGTGTGCTTAGCATGCACAAGGGCTCAATCCTCAGTATCTCCATTTAAAAAAACTCATACATAAATAAATCTGACCCCCTCCCCCAAAAAAACAACCTGTACTTCTGCTGTCTGTGATTGACAACCTCAGTGCTTGCCTCAAGTCAGTTTTTTCCAGCGTTAAAAAGAGTGGGTATAGAGTGGGTATTGAGTACTGTGTAGGCCCATTCTTTTCCCAGAAACAACTACCTTGAATCATTTAAAATTTCTCACGAGTGAGCGCCTTGTTATTCCACTATATTAATTTGCTTAAAATTTATTTTTCCTGCCTGTTTCTGAATTTTTCATGTAGATATGTAGATCTAGTTATTGCTTTTAACTATTATGTATTCTGTTTATATACATACACATGTACGTATACACAACAAATTGTATTTAATGTCTTTCTTTACTAATTGGTGTTTTTTGCCATTATTTTAGTATTAAAAATAGTGCTTTACTGAATTTTTAGAATGTATATCCCCATGCACATATGCCAGAATTTCTCTGAGATATAACCCTGGAAATGGCCATTAGGTCTTAAGACTTGTCTTTTACTAGCTGTTGCCAGTTTGTGCTGCAATCAGCTTGGTTTGGTCAGATTTTTAATATTTTGATTAAATTAGATTTTAAAAGTAACCTAATGAAGGAGAAAGACAAGTTATTGTTGCTTTCTTTGCTGTGTTTTAAAACATTCTCCCTCCTCCCCTAGTCCAATGGATGGGACCCCAATGAAATGTTCAAGTTCAATGAGGAGAACTATGGTGTGAAGACCACCTATGACAGCAGTCTCTCTTCTTATACGTGAGTGTCTCTTTGTCCTTCCCACTTGGTGCAGTTTGAGATGTGAGGTCACTAACAGAAGGCAGGTCTCTAGGTGGAACATAGCTTTTGTTCATTCTTTTCTAGGGGTCCAGTTTGCCCTCTCCTCACTTCTGATCTGCCTTTTGAACTCTTCCCTCAAAGGTGTTTCTCTTTCTCTTAACCTTGATTCCATGGGTAGAGTTAACTGTTTTCTTGTTCATCGGTCCATACTTTTCCTGTAGAATTTTAACAAACTTACATATGTGTCTAAGTGTCCCTCAGATTCAGAGATATGCCTTGCCGCTCAGCCTGGGACCCTTCTAGATGCCAGGTCACTGTATGCTGAGTTGTTGAAGGGTTTAAACCATGTTATGTCTAAGCTGGTGATAGGACTGATAGAAATTTCTTCCCTTTTTCCCCTCTTGGGTGGTCCTCTCAGTGTGCCCTTAGAGAAGGACAACTCAGAAGAATTTCGACAAAGGGAGCTGCGTGCGGCCCAGTTGGCTCGAGAGATTGAATCGAGCCCCCAGTACCGCCTGAGGATCGCCATGGAGAACGATGATGGGCGCACGGAGGAGGAGAAGCACAGCGCAGTTCAGCGGCAGGGTTCAGGGCGAGAGAGCCCCAGCTTGGCATCGAGGTGATTGCTGGGGGTGGCTGGTCTGGTGGGGCTCAGGCTCACCATATGGGCCAGGAGCTTGGTACGCTCTTTTTTCTTTTTCTTTTTCTTTTTTTAACATTTTTTTATTGATTTATAATCATTTTACAATGTTGTATCAAATTCCAGTGTTCAGCACAATTTTTCAGTCATACATGGACATATTTTTTTTTAACATTTTTTATTGATGGTACGCTCTTGTTGAAGCCTCACAACCGTATAGGTTAACACAGTTATACCCAATTTTTAGGTTTAGGAGACTGAAGCCTAGAACTGTTAAATAGTTTGCCCAAGGTAACGATGCTAAAGCTTAAGGATTTAAAGACAAGTGTTTTTCAGCTTTTTGATGCATATTCTTTTTCTCTGCATGTTCATCCATGTGTATGTCTTATACTTTGATTTCATTTCCATAAATCAAAGAGTATTGTAGCTTGTAAAAGCTTCACCTTAACCACAGTGTAATACTACCTTTTTCCTAGATCAGGAGAGGTAGAATTGTGGAGCACTGGCCAGGTTGGTCTGGTCAGGGGTTGATACAACATAGGGTCATAGTCCGGGAGCTACAGAACTTATAACCAAGACAGATCTTCAAGTGGAATAGTACAGAAAGCTGAAGCCAGGCATGCGTGTGTATGTGTGTGTGTGTGTGTGTGTATATGTGTGGCAAGAGGTGGACTTTAAAAGGAGGGCTTCATATTTGTAAAATGTGAGTTTTGTGGCTACTTGATCTTATTTGAACTCTCTCCCCCAGGGAGGGAAAGTATATCCCTCTACCCCAACGAGTTCGGGAAGGTCCCCGGGGAGGAGTTCGATGCAGTAGCTCTCGGGGTGGCCGTCCTGGCCTTAGCTCTTTGCCACCTCGTGGTCCTCACCATCTTGACAATAGCAGTCCCGGCCCAGGTTCTGAGACACGTGGTATCAATGGAGGTGAGTTATGAAGCAGGCTTTTGCTGGGGGCAAGGAAGGGGATAGTAAGGAGGTGGGAAAGATAATTAAAAAGATTTAGATGGGTTGGAAGGAAGATGCATTGATGGTAATTGTAATAGCAGAAACTCTGCCTCTTTTTTCCCATCTTTAAAAAAAAAAAAATAGGTCCCTCCCGCATGTCCCCTAAGGCACAGCGGCCTCTGAGAGGTGCCAAGACTCTCTCTTCTCCCAGCAGCAGGCCTTCTGGAGAAGCTTCTGTTCCACCTCCTGCTGCAGGTAAGAATTCAGTGTTGTTACATGAAAAAATGGATAGAAATTTGTAAAGGGATGTAAGCATGTCAGTTGTTAGAGTGCTGTGATGGAAGACAGTTGTAGGGTACGGGTGTTTTGGAGGCTTGGATTTACGCTTTTCTAGGAAAGAATTTTTTGAGTTTCCCTCATGCAGAATTTCCAACATGGCAGTCCGTGGGTTTTCTGGTTGGCAGTTGTTTTTTGTTTAAGTTAGTTGCCAACATTTTAAGGCAGGAGAAATCATAGAAAACTTCTAATTTCTTCTGAGATACAGAAAGTTCTGCCAACACTCAACCTTTCTTGCTGTCTGGTTGTGTTTGTGACCTTGTGGATAAACTTTTCTTGGTGTTTCTAGTGAGTCCCCGGTATCCATTGCTCAGTGACCAGCAGTGACCATCACACAGTTCTCCCATTTCTTCCAGTGGGCCGGATGTACCCCCCACGCTCTCCCAAGTCAGCTGCCCCTGCCCCAATCTCAGCTTCCTGTCCAGAGCCTCCCATCGGCTCAGCAGTACCAACCTCTTCAGCTTCCATCCCTGTGACATCAGCAGTTGTGGATCCTGGAGTAGGCTCCATTTCCCCAGCTTCTCCAAAGATCTCACTGGCCCCCACGGATGGTAAGAGCCATGTGGTTGAGGGCTGTGGACAGTGTGAAGTTGCTTCTGGACAGAAGGTCCTTCAGGCACTTCTCTTTTCTTGCTCAGTAAAAGAACTTCCAGCCAAGGAACCTGGGAGAACTCTGGAGTCCCAGGAGCTGTCCCGGATAGCTGGGAAAGGTAGGGTTTTTTTTTCTTCTGCCAGAGTCTATTGCCCCTTGGATTGGGAGATCAGTTAGGAAAATTGTTGGAATTCAGAATCAGACAGTATGTGTCTTTGATCCTAACTTAGGATTCTGAAGAGCTCCTTTTTTCTTTGGTTTCTTTTGTCTTTTGGGATGCTAGCATTGTGTAGCCACGTTCAAGAAAAGAAATGTGTGTTTTCTCCTTTTTTTTTGTTTGTTTGTTTGCTGTTTCTCATAGTCCCTGGCCTTCAGAACGAACAGAAACGCTTTCAACTGGAAGAACTGAGAAAGTTTGGGGCCCAGTTTAAGGTGAGAAAAGTGTGGGAATGAGCTAGGATGTTAGCAGGATGGAGTTGAAGAGGGGTGGGGGAGTTTTATGGAATAGGCACTGGGTGTCGTCAAGAGATGAGAGCAAGCAAAACTGAAGAAAGGAAGCAGAGCCTGGGGTCTGGACTGGACAGTATCCTATTCATTGTGTATTTGTTTCTCTTCTTCCAGCTTCAGCCCAGTAGCTCCCCTGAGACCAGCCTGGATCCTTTTCCTCCCCGGATCCTAAAGGAGGAGGCCAAAGGGAAGGAGAAGGAAGTTGATGGTCTTTTGACTTCAGAGTCCATGGGGTCCCCTGTTTCCTCCAAGACAGAATCCGTATCGGATAAGGAGGACAAACCACCCCTGCCAGCAGCAGGAAGCACTGAGGGGCCAGATCAGCCCCCTCCACCTTGCCCAAGCCAAACCGGCAGCCCCCCAGTGAGCCTCATGAAGGGAGATGACAAGGATGAGGGCCCTGTTGCTGAGTGAGTGGTGTGGGGAACTGGGTGGGTGCCAGGGGTGGTGAGGGGAAGCCATGAGGATTTACTTTGTTTTTCTCTCGTAGACAAGTGAAGAAGTCAACATTGAATCCCAATGCCAAGGAGTTCAATCCCACTAAGCCTCTGCTGTCTGTGGTGAGATGGGATGGAGAATGTGGGCTTTGGTTCCCATGAGGGAGAGTTTGGAGTAGGGTATTAGGGCATGGGAGGGGAAGCTTCTGACTCAGGTAGCGAAAAGAGGCATTGTGAAACGTGTAGGGATTGAAGCAGTTGGGGAAACCGAGGGGTCTCAGGGCTGGGTGGCAAGAGATTGTAATGTGTCTGACAAGTATTCATGGATTTTTCCCTGGGACTTCACATTTAGTCAGGGGCATCTGAGTCTGGTGGTTAGGAATATGGGCCCACTGACTTGACCTCTGCTTGCAAGCTTGGTGATTTTGAACAAGCCACTTAACCTCTCTGCTTGTTTCCTCATCTGTAATTTGAGAAAGCTAATCTCGTAGGGTTTGATGTGAGGCTTAACCAAATGAAGTGTAGGACGCATTTGGCACGGGGCACTCCGTGGATACTGTTGATGTTATAGGTATTGGGTGGGGGTTGGGGAGCGGTACAGAAGTCATTAAGGTATTTTATATGTGTCCTCTTGTGTGTCTTACAGAATAAATCCACCAGTACTCCAACTTCTCCTGGGCCCCGGACTCATTCAACCCCCTCCATCCCGGTGCTGACGGCAGGCCAGAGTGGGCTCTATAGCCCCCAGTATATTTCCTACATACCTCAGATCCACATGGGACCAGCTGTTCAGGTGAGGGAAGAGACTGGGTGGACCAGGGTAAGAGGTTTGGTTGGGCTGCTTGAGGGACCAAAGCATGCCTGTTCTGAGCATTTTTAAGCAAGTCATTCAGCCTCACCTGTGTTCTTGTCCCTAGGCACCTCAGATGTATCCGTATCCTGTGTCCAACTCAGTGCCTGGACAGCAGGGCAAGTACCGGGGAGCAAAAGGTGAGCGGGGTCAGGAGGGGCCGTCGACGGGGCTGCCCATTGCCTCCTGGCAGGTGGAGCTTGAGCTCTGCACTATTTTTCCTCCACCCCCAGGCTCCCTGCCCCCCCAGCGCTCGGACCAACACCAGCCAGCCTCGGCCCCTCCAATGATGCAGGCCGCTGCCGCTGCCGGCCCACCTCTGGTGGCTGCCACACCCTATTCTTCCTACATCCCCTACAACCCACCACAGTTCCCAGGCCAGCCCACCATGATGCAGCCCATGGCCCACTACCCCTCGCAGGTGACTGAGGCACAGGAGGGATGTGGGGTATAGATGCTTGCTAGAAAGCCCATTTTCTCCACCTCCCAGACTCAGAGGAGCTGGTGAGAGAGGCAGGCAGAGTTCTGGGTGGTGTGTCTGGCTTGAGCTTCAGTCTTGGATCTGGTAGGAGCTGTAGCAAGGCAGTGGACCCCTGAGCCTTAGGTGTTTCCCCTATAAAATGTAGATGAAACAGGATCCACTTAGTAGGGTTATTGTGAATGTGAGGCAAGGTGGTTTAACGAGATCAGAGTAGTGTTGAGCACAGGTTCTCAGGCAGAGGGATGTGCCTCCCGACTGAGCCCTCTGCCGTGCCAACCGCTTCTCTCCTTGCCCCTCCAGCCGGTGTTTGCCCCCATGCTTCAGAGCAACCCACGCATGCTGACGTCGGGGAGCCATCCCCAGGCCATCGTGTCATCCTCTACCCCTCAGTACCCTTCTGCAGAGCAGCCCACCCCCCAAGCCCTTTATGGTAGGTTCTGGACCCTCCTTCCTCCAGGCTGTGCTCCTCAGCCCCTTCCGGTGTGCTCGGCACTGACTGTCTCTCCCTTTCCTGCTGTAGCCACTGTTCACCAGTCCTATCCACACCATGCCACGCAGCTTCATGCCCACCAGCCGCAGCCGGCCACCACGCCTACTGGGAGCCAGCCGCAGTCCCAGCATGCGGCCCCCAGTCCTGTCCAGGTGCCTGCCGTGGGGGATCCAAGTGGGTGGGGCAGGAATGGATGGCTGGAAGAGAGAGGCGTTCCTCGGCGGCGGTGGGGTTGGGTCAGCAGGTGGTCAGCCTGGGTACCAGAGGAGTGAGTGGCACTGACCCTTCACCTCCCCCTGACAGCACCAGGCGGGGCAGGCCCCACACCTGGGCAGTGGACAGCCACAGCAGAATCTGTACCACCCAGGGGCCCTGACAGGCACACCGCCTTCTCTGCCGCCGGGACCTTCTGCCCAGTCCCCTCAGAGCAACTTCCCCCAGCCAGCCGCTGTGTACGCCATCCACCACCAGCAGCTGCCCCACGGCTTCACCAACATGGCCCATGTTACCCAGGTGAGAGCCCTGCTGTGCCATGAGGACCTGAGCCGGGGGACGGTCCCATCCCTAGATCCTTGGTGTACCTTTTTACTTCATGGTCCTGACACTAGGAGCCTCAGATCCTGTGTCAAATTTCTGTGGTGCTCCCAGCTCCTTTTTGTTCTCTGCAGGCCCATGTCCAAACTGGAATCACAGCAGCCCCGCCCCCTCACCCTGGGGCTCCCCACCCGCCCCAGGTGATGCTGCTGCACCCACCCCAGAGCCATGGGGGCCCCCCCCAAGGCGCAGTGCCCCAGAGTGGGGTGCCTGCACTCTCAGCTTCCACACCCTCACCCTACCCCTACATCGGACACCCCCAAGGTGAGCAGCCTGGCCAGGCGCCTGGATTTCCAGGAGGAGCCGATGACAGGATTCGTGAGTTCTCGTTAGCCGGGGGAATTTGGCATGGAAGAGCTGATGGGCTGCAGGTGGGGCAGGATGCACGGGTTCTGGGTGGGGAGTGAGGGGTCTTGGAGGCAGGGCTGTCCCACAGGGCGCCTGCCGACCTGCACCTGTCTGTGAAGTATGTAGGGTGGGCAGAAGCCACAGTCGCCGCCGCCAGGGGCTTGCTCCTGGCTCTGTCCTTTGCTTCCCTCCGTCCTCGCTCAGTTGTGATCCAGCAGCCCCCCTCCCCACTGCCTCCCCAGCTCTCAGTGACCCCGACTGTCTCCTGACTTAGCTGAGGTAAGGTCAGCGCAGCAGACAGGGCCAGGCTGGGGTGTGGGGGGCTGAGCTGGGCACATGAGTAAGGGCTCTGGCTCACTGGCAAACGGCGATTGATCTGTGCTTCTGACAGCCCCATGAGACACCTTGAGGAGGCCGCTCCTACCAACACTCCCCCCACACCCCACACTGGACGGCATTGGATGAAGGGACAGCTGCTTGGGTTCTAATGCTCCTGCTCTCTTCTCTTTCCCCTCCAACCAGTTCAATCTCATCCCTCCCAGCAGCTCCCCTTCCACCCCCCGGGGAACTGAAGATTGTCCTGGCCGCGACCTGAGACCTCCATGAGTGGAGGGAAGAGTGATCTATGTCTCTTCCCCCAGCAGCTCGGACCAGTCCTGTCCCCCCACCCCGTCCCCCCCCCCGC